CAGTTCATTTCCGAGCTCACCTAATTTTGTCAGAGACTAACATTTGAAAATTACAACTGTGTTTTGATGGCCAGGTATGTCAGCTTTATTATAAAATAATTTCTTAAGTAAGGACCTTAAAGAGCTGCTTTGAACGCTCTCATCCTAAAAATGGCAACATTAAAATACATGATTTTTTACAGGCCCAAAACTGCAGCTGACTGGGAGACTTAATGCCTGGAAAATGCACGTCAAAGTCTTACTGCTGCAAGCTTTAATTGGCACTTTTGATGTTCTTTGAGGGAAAAAAATATAAATCCGTTCTCACAGTAGAAAAATGCAGAGAGATGCTGAACATTTCTGAAGAAATCAGACATGGTCAAAGTTACTCATCAGCGTGGTTTCCAAAGGATGGGAGGCCAATATCTGCACTGCCCCATGACTTTAGAAGCCAGTGAGTAACTTCAACCTATTCTGAAAAGGTGTCAACAGGGTAGATTTAGACTGAACATTAGGAAAGAATTTTTCACAGAAAGAGTGGTCGGGCATTGGAATAGGCTGCCCAGGGAGGTGGTTGAGGCACCATCCCTGGATGTGTTTAAGAGCCGTTTAGATGTGGTGTTGGGGGATATGGTGTAGGGGAGAACTTTGTAGAGTAGGGTAGGTGGTTGGACTCGATGATCCCAAGGGTCTCTTCCAACCTAGACAATTCTGTGATTCTATGGTAATGAAGTTCTTACAAGCTCTGTGAAAATCAGTGGCTGGGAAAGAGGGCCAAATAATGCCCCCAAGGGGGAAAAGATGGGCAGAAAGATGCCCCATCTCTTGCCGGGTGAAGATAACATCAATCAACAAGGGAACATGGAGAAAGACATAGGATCTACAGGGGCGTAAGACATTCACCAGAAACAGGACTTCATTAGTTCTGCTTTTCACAGCACTTCTTTTAAATAGAGGTCTTTTCTCAGGATTTGCCAAAACCTAATTGCATAATTACGATTCAATTCTACTGTGCCACCCCTTCTGCAACAAAAGTCCCTGGGAAAATTACACGTGACTGCCCCTACCCCCAGTTACCAAGATGTAAGAGGGAACACAGGCACAACAACATTCGAATGCGGACGGCACATCTTGGCTGGTCTGACATGAAACACCAACCAGCAGCTGAGCAAAGCTATTTTCATATTGCATATTAGAAAAGCATGAAAGCATCCACAAATTTTTATGTTTGTGATCACCATCAGCACACAGAAACACATCTCAAATAATTTCCTTATGCTTTGATACGCTTGATGCTACGTTAGTGACTGATGAACAATTACAAAAAACACAGAACTTCCAAATCCTCTTTTATAAAGGAATACACACTTTTACTATTTTCCTGATGCTTCAGAACAAGGTGTGGTCCTTTTTAAGTAACAAGACCAAAACAAGTGTCATAAAAAGACATGTAACATATCTGTCACTACAGTTTGCTGGAATTTGTAATCATTGCAGTAAACCAAAGCAGGAGTAAAGTTTTATAACACCGTTCTACGGTCCTTTACAATCATCTGCTACCATAAAGGGCAATTTTACTCTGAATCAAATATATAATAAACGTTGCATTTTACCTTACTAAAATCAGCACTGAAATATATACTTTCCAAACAAGGCAATATATAGCAATCATTTTCTTTAACTGTAGAATGCAACTTTACGCATTTTGTAATAAAGTATTTACAGAGCGATTCCTTCAAACAAAAAAGCTTCATAATTTTAATAACGTACCAAATGTATCTATCCAAACTGGCAGAAACAAGTTTAAGAGAAAACCTACTCCAGAAACGCAACATAGAGCTTTTTAGTAAAAAAAAAAAAAAGAAAACGAAGCAGAGCAGCAAACATCCTCCAGTACTACAAGAATTTGCTTACACTGGCAGAACAATTTTCCTTTGTCTTCCAGAAATTTAACAGAAAACGGATACAACCCCTGCTGTTTTATACTGTTATACTGACAAAAAAGAGCTACAAAAATAGATTTGGTCAGTATTTATGACAAAAACATACCTGTGGCTAATCTAATGGGTAATGCCACAAGCCGTCACTTTACCCTAATGCTATATCCCAGTGAATTGCTAATATTTATCATCTGGGAAGAGCAGGAAGACAGCACTGAAAAAGTGCTGAAGTGCTGCTTTCCTAACTGCAGGCACTGCAAGAAAACAAACCAGAAATAATCATTTATGCCCTCCCCATATCATTGTATCAGTTGTTGCATTCAAACCATTATTGGTTTTGACAGATAACCACAAACAATTTTGCAGCATCACAGGATGTTATTTTGGACTTAATTATTAGTGGAGCCAAGGACTCCTCTTTTTGGTAAATGCCACGTTGCCAGACCACACCAAAAGGCCCCCTGGCATTCACTATTTGGCAGTTATGTGTTGTTTTGCCAAATCGTTCAGTTTCTTATCTCTTATTGACACATTCCCTAACCAAATTAAGCAAATCCTTGGTGGTTACTGACACTGCCCTGGGAGGTGGTAAAAAGGGCCTGAAGCTCCTCAAGACTGAAGTGGTATCCTCTGTTTCCTGAGGGCCAACTCCATGCCAGCTCTTTACAACACTGGGTAGCAACAGCCTTTTTATTTTTTGAAAGAAAGTGAAACCCTGCCGTTGTGAGGCACTCTGTCTTGGTGCAGACAGCGCTCTCAGAAGCAGCTTCCAAATCCCGGTGCTCCACGGATGCGGGCAGGGAGTACCTAGCACCCACCCGAGCTCCAGCAGGAACAAGCCAGGGAGGACTGCAGCTGCAGTCTATGCTGAAGGCGGCAATTA